GACAACGTGACGGCCAAAAAATCCCACCCAAAATCAACAAAAATCCAAAAATAATTCCAAAAATCCCCAAAAATTCAGAAAAAATTCCCAAAAAATCCTCAAAAATTCCCCAAAAAAATCCAAAAATTCCCAAAAAATTCCCAAAAAATCCCCCAAAATTCCCCAAATTCTCTCCTAACATTAGAAAAAGAATAAAAAATCACCAAAAAATCAAATTAAAATGCAAAAAATCGCCAAAAAATGCCCAAAAATCCCCGAAAAAATTGGAAAAAATCCCCAAAATTCCCCCCGAAAATTCGCAAAAATTCCCCAAATTTCCCCAAATTCCCAAATTTTGGGATTTCAGGGATCTGAAGCTGGACAACGTGATGCTGGACGCGCAGGGCCACGTGAAGATCACGGATTTTGGGATGTGCAAGGAGAACATCGGCCCCGGCTGCAGCACCAGAACCTTCTGCGGGACCCCCGACTACATCGCCCCCGAGGTCGGAATTCCCGGAATTCCCAAAATTCCCAAATTCCCCAAATTTTGGGAAAAAACCCGAAAAAAACCGGGTGAAAATCGGGCGAAAAATGGCGAAAAAACGGAAAAAAATCTGATTTTTCGGGGGGTTTTTTGGGGTTTTTTGGGGTTTTTTGGGGGATTTTTAGGAATTCTGAAAAATTATGGAATTCTCGGAAGTTTGGGAAAAAAAAGGGGGGAAATGGTGAAAGAAGAGGGAAAAAATTGGATTTTTGGGGATTTTTTTGGGATTTTTGGGGATTTTTTGGGGATTTTTGGGGAGTTTTGGGGAGTTTTGGGGATTTTTTTGGGAGTTTTTTGGGATTTTTTTTTTTTTGTTTTTTCGGCAATTCCCAAAATTCCTGAAAGTCTGGGACAAATCCCAGAAAAAAACTGCCAAAATTTGGGGAAAAAAAGGAAAATTTCTGGAATTATTTAGGGATTTTTGGTGACTTTTTGGAGATTTTTTGGGAATTTTTTTTTGGGGGGGGGGGAATTTTTTTTTAGGGATTTTTCCAAGTTTTTGGGAGTTTTTTGGGAATTCCCAAAAATTCTCAAAAATCTGGGAAAAAAAATCACAGAAAAAAAATTGCCAAAAATTGGGGAAAAATCAGGAAATTTTGGGATTTTCTGTGATTTTTGGGGGGATTTTTTGGGGGAATTTTTTGGATTTTTTGGGGTTTTTGGGAAATCCCGAAAATCCCCACAATTCCCAAAAATCCTGGAAAAAATCCGGGAAAAAAAAGCCAAAAAATGAGAAAAAAATTGGAATTTTTGGTGTTTTTTGAGGCTTTTTCGGGCGATTTTCGGGCGATTTTCGCGGGGTTTTTTTTGGGAATTTCGGGGGAATTTTGGGAATTTGGGAATTTTGGGAATTTTTGGGAATTTGGGGCGCGGATTTTGGCAGATCATCGCCTACCAGCCCTATGGGAAGTCGGTGGATTGGTGGTCCTACGGCGTCCTGCTCTACGAGATGCTCGCCGGACAGGTCGGAATTTGGGGAATTTTGGGAATTTTCGGGAATTTTCGGGAATTTTCTGGGAATTTGGGGGGATTTAGGCAGGAATTTGGGGGAAATTTGGGGGGAAAAATGGGATTTTGGGGGGAAAAAATTGGTTTTTTTAGATATTTTTTCAGAATTTTGGGGGAGATTTGGGGATTTTTGGGGAATTTTGGGGAAATTTGGGAATTTTTTGGGAATTTGGGGGATTTGCGGAGAAAAATTGGGAATTTTGGGAAGAAAAGGGGATTTTTAGGGGGTTTTGGAGAAATTTTGGGATTTTTTGGGGGGGATTTTTTGGGAATTTGGGGAATTTTTGGGGATTTTGGGAAATTTTTGGGAATTTTTGGAATTTTGGGGAATTTTCAGGGAATTTGGGGGTATTTAGGTGGGAACTTGGGGGAAATCTGGGGGGAAATGGGGATTTTTGGGGAAAAATGGGGATTTTTAATGAATTTCTTTGGAATTTTGGGGGGGTTTGGGAATTTTTTGGGAATTTTTGGGGGAATTTTGGGAAATTTGGGAATTTGGGGAATTTTGGGGGGAAATGGGGATTTTGGGGGTTTTTTGGAGAATTTTGGGGGGAGATTGGGGAATTTTTATTTTAAATTTTGGGGGGATATTTTGGGAATGTTTTGGGGATAATTTGGGGAAAATTTAGGAATATTTTGGGGATATTTTGGGGATATTTTCAGAATAATTTAGGAATATTTTAGGGATATTTTGGGGTTATTTTTGGGGTAATGTTGGTGATAATTTAGGAATATTCTATGGATATTTTGGGGATAATTCAGGAATATTTTGGGGCTAATTCAGGAATATTTTGGCAATATTTTAGGGATATTTTGAGGATATTTCTGGGATATTTTCGGGGATCATTCAGGAATATTTTGGTGCTATTTTAGGAATATTTTGGGAACATTTAGGGGATTTTTGGGGATATTTTGGGTGATATTTTGGGGATATTTTAGGAATATTTTGGAGACATTTAGGGGATAATTTGGGGATATTTTAGGAATAATTCAGGAATATTTTGGGGATATTTTAGGGGTATTTTGGGAACATTTAGGGGATATTTTGGGAAAAAATTCAGGAATATTTTGAGGATATTTTGGGGATATTTTGGGGATATTTCAGGAATATTTTGGGGATATTTTGAGGATATTTCGGGGATATTTCGGGGATATTTCGGGGATATTTTGGGGATATTTCGGGGATATTTCGGGGATATTTTGGGGATATTT